TCCTCCTTATGTTCTCCTTGTTCCCTTTCGCGTCTCTTCAATTTTCCTTCAACGAATTCTCTGATCTCTGTCTCACAACGGCAGATCTAGGGTTTATGGTTTCTGGCTATCAATAAATCGTCATTGTTTCTCCGACTAATTTCTGTTAATGTTTTATCTAACGAGTTTCTATATTTCTCCATTGCTGCAGCCGAGCTTCCACAGCTTCGATTCTCTCGCATTTACGTATACATAACGCACGAATGAGGTTCGTTTTCTCCAGATCGATCTTCTTTTCTTCACGTTTTTACTGGCTAGCTTGTGATTCGGAATCGATGTGAAATCTTTTGGTGGATATAGATCGTCGTAGATCGTGATTGAAGCGAGAGAGAAAAAAATTAGAAGAGCGAAGATGAGTGAGGGCCAAAAGTTCCAGCTGGGGACAATCGGCGCTTTGAGTTTGTCCGTTGTGTCGTCTGTCTCGATCGTGATCTGTAACAAGGCGCTTATTAGCACCCTTGGCTTCACATTCGGTAACCTTTTCCATTCTTCCTCGTGGATTTTAGTGTTTACAGGCTCCTTTGATTATTCATGTTGCTGCAGAAATCATTTCCTCTGGATCGTATTCATTTTGGAGCCTGCTTAATTTAGAAATCTAAGCGAATGAGTTTAAGGATAGGTTAGAGATCGTTTTACTTCTTACTATGTTCGGAATTGTTAGGTGGTTGTCTTCTTTTTACCGCTTATGGTCCATAACGAGAATTGCCTTCCTGATTGTATATGTTTAAGAAAGATTCATATCTTTGGAAATATAAACGCTTTAGATGCTCCTCTGACTTGAAATGATGTTTGTGGTTTGCGTGTCCCCAAAAATGGGATTTCTCTTGTTACTTTATGAGTGAGGTGCTTTATTACTTTAGCTTTTTTTTCTGTGGGACTCATTTTTATATGCTAGGAGGAAGATACACCGCCAATTCTTTGTATTATTATACTGAGCAGGACGCTTATCAACCCTTTGTGAAGCTTGCATTACCATATCATCATATGCAATTGATCTCATAAGCTATATGTACTTACTCTTGCTAACTTTGGACTTGCAGCGACTACTTTGACGAGTTGGCATCTTTTGGTCACATTTTGTTCCCTTCATGTGGCATTATGGATGAAGATGTTTGAACACAAGCCTTTTGATCCACGAGCTGTGATGGGATTTGGCATATTGAATGGGATATCCATAGGACTATTGAACCTCAGTCTGGGCTTTAATTCCGTTGGTTTTTACCAGGTATTATTCCAGCTGCTACGTGATGATATCTTTTTAATATGTGTTTTTCAAACCCATCTTCTCTGCTGTTGATATTAGATGACAAAACTAGCAATCATCCCCTGTACTGTGCTCTTGGAGACCCTCTTCTTCAGGAAAAAGTTCAGGTTAGCACTCAAAGTTCTGTAACTTTTTATATCTTGTACATTGCTCAAGAAGGATCATTGATTTGGAGGAAGTTATTTTAATATGACATCTATCTTTTCCCATGGTCATACATTTTTGGTTGATTATCAAAGTTCTAATTTGATATACTGTGTAATAGTTGAGCAACTTAGTGATAGTCTTATCTATGCCCCTTTGTGTTGATAATTACTTTCTCTGAAAATTTCACGGCTCCATTGCTAGTTTCCGGTTAATGACTCACTACCTTTTTCTGTTTGCAGCCGAAAAATCCAGTTTTCATTGGCCATCCTTCTCCTTGGTGTTGGAATTGCAACCGTCACAGATCTTCAGCTAAATATGCTGGGTTCTGTCTTGTCGCTGCTGGCTGTTATCACAACTTGTGTTGCTCAAATTGTATCCTATGCTTAGCCTTTCTTTTCTCATTGCTATATTCTTTCCCTTTCTATATATCTTGTTTTAAGCCCAATCCGATTCTGTTATCTTAACCAATTGTACACAGATGACAAACACCATCCAAAAGAAGTTCAAAGTTTCATCCACGCAACTTCTGTATCAGTCATGCCCGTATCAAGCAATCACTCTTTTCGTCGCTGGGCCATTTTTAGATGGGCTCTTAACCAACCAGAACGTGTTTGCTTTCAAGTACACTTCTCAAGTCGTGGTAAGACTCAGTCCGAGGCATCTGCCAGTGAACTCTATGTCAATCCTGCATACTTACACGTTGCTTATTTGTTGACTGCAGTTCTTCATCGTTCTGTCCTGCCTCATATCAGTCTCTGTAAACTTCAGCACGTTTCTCGTCATTGGAAAAACATCTCCAGTCACATATCAGGTTCTGGGACATCTCAAAACATGCCTGGTTCTAGCATTTGGCTACGTGTTGCTGCGAGACCCATTCAACTGGCGCAACATTCTCGGTATTCTTGTGGCCGTGATTGGAATGGTTGTTTATTCTTATTACTGTTCGATTGAGACTCAGCAAAAGGCAAGTGAAACATCAACTCAGTTGCCTCAGGTATATTTCCCCATCTATCCTTTCTTCTAATATCTATCTGTTGTCTAGATATAAAGCCAATCCTCATATTAAAGAAATGGTGGACACCAATAAATAAATTGATCATAGTATTAAATAGGACTCACCTACTTCTCTCCTGTATGATTTAAAACAATCGTATTCCTTTATCCCATCAGAGTCGCTCATTTGAATTGAATCTGAGAAAAAAAGAAAACACTGATTTTGGAATGGTTTGGGTGGTCGCAGATGAAAGAGAGCGAGAAGGATCCTTTAATCGCAGCTGAAAATGGAAGCGGAGTGTTATCAGATGGTGGTGGGGGTGTGCAAAAGACAGTAGCTCCTGTATGGAACTCAAATAAAGATTTTCAAGCTTAAAGCTTAAACATCGC